GAGTAGCTGCGATTACAGGCACCCGCCACCACGCCTGGCTAATTTTTGTATTTTTAGTAGGAGAGTTTCACCACGTTGGCCAGGTTGGTCTCAAACTCCCGGGCTCAAGCGATCCTCCTGCCTTGGCCTCCCAAAGTGCCGGGATTACAGGCATGAGCCACTGTGCCTGGCCTCTTTATTATTTTAATCACTTGAAACAATTTCATATTGTGTGTGTGTGTTCTACTCCTACTATCTAATCATTTGCTGAATCTCATAGCTGGCTCCTGATTTTTTTCCAAAAAGAATAATTAATAGATTCACACATAAGGAAATTGAAACTCAGAAAGGATAAATGACTTCCAAACGTCACAGAGACCTTGGTAAACCAGACCACTATGACCCAGATCTGGTTTTTCAACTCAGAACATTTTCCACTTTATACCTCTCAGTGGTCCAAGGATCTTATGAAGGCCTTAATAAGGCGCAAGGTAAGGACAGCCGTGACAATTTTCCAGTCTCCTTTTCATTTTCATTCTTCCTAAATACACTGTTACTCTCTTATTCTCCCTAAAGTATGGCTCTGATTTTGACACTCACGTTTTCAAAACCTTTAGTAATTCCCCATGACCTACCAAACTCAGTACAGATTTATAAACCTGTTTTTTGTTTGTTTGTTTGTTTGTTTGTTTGTTGAGACGGAATTTTGCTCTTGTTGCCCAGGCTGGAGTGCAATGGCGCGATCTCGGCTCACTGCAACCTCTGCCTCCCGGGTTCAAGTGATTCTCCTGCCTCAACCTCCCGAGTAACTGGGATTACAGGCATGCATCACCATGCCCAGCTGATTTTGTATTTTTAGTAGAGACAGGGTTTCTCCACGTTGGTCAGGCTGTCTCAAACTCCCGACCTCAGGTGATCTGCCCATCTCGGCCTCCCAAAGTGTTGGGATTACAGGCGTGAGCCACCGCACCCAGCCTATAAACCTGTTTTTAGGCTCCTGTCAGCCTGTTTCTGTCTGTCTGTCTGTCTGTTTGTCTCTCTCTCTCTCTCTCTCTCTCTCTCTGTCTCGCACACACACACACACACAGTGCCTTGACCAGACTGGTCTTACTAGCCAAGTGCTTACTGATGTACCCCATTCAGGATTTTGTTCCATTTCTTTTGCCTAGTATGCCTTCTGTTCCTCATTTTCCAGAACCACATCTCATGCCATCTTTCATGAATCCTTCTCTGATTATCCTCCTTGCTACTCTCTCCTTTGAATTCCCTAAGTACTTGATTTGTACTTTTTCTTATTATATAATATTCTCTCTAATACTAAATTATAGGATTTGTACTTATCCTTCTTAGATGTCCATATTCTTAATTTTAAAAGGACAGTGTTTTATACATCTAACGTAGTGTCCTGCAACTAGTATCTTGTCAAATTGTATGAAATTTAAATACTTTAGGTTCAAAATAATATTTAAATATAATTATACATACAATTCTGTGTTCCATTATAAGATATAATTATTGCTGCCAGTGGAGATAATGTGGATTCCTAGAGAAGAATTCACCTGTGATCCTGACAGTTGGTGAATTTGATGCCATTGGTAACAAGCATATGGAAACTTGTATGTTTGTTTTTAACATTGATAATATTCTCTAAAGTGGCCTTTGACTCAGTGTTTCGTATTTGTTATTTTATTTCCTTAAGTGGTATTTTTATCAGATTGGTATTTGGAAGTTTGTTTTCCTGTCTCTTTCTTCCTTTTTTTCTCTGATATGGAGTCTTTCTCTGTTGCCCAGGCCGGAGTGCAGTGGCGCAATTTGGCTCACTGCCACCTCTGCCTCCCGGGTTCAAGCAATTCTCCTGCCTCAGCTTCCCAAGTAGCTGGGATAACAGGCACATGCCACTACACCCAGCTAGTGTTTTGTATTTTTAGTAGAGATGGGGTTTTGCCATGTTGGGCAGGCTGGTCTCAAACTCCTAACCTCAGGTGATCCATCCACCTTGGCATTCCAAAGTGCTGGGATTACAGGCGTGAGCCGCCGCGCACCTGGCCTGTTTTCCTTTCTCTAGCTATTAGCAACAATTGAAATAAGACTGTCATTTTCAACAGAAGGTAGATGTTCACTTGAGTCAGAGGTAGAGCCTGGGAGAGGGAGGCTTAGCACTCTGGTCTTCCAAATCAATTTTTCTTACTGTGTGATCTAGGCAATTTGCAACTATGAACAAATAAACTCATTGTTCCATCTTTCCTACTGTATCATTCTTCATAGCACTTACCACCTTCTCACATGCCAGATATTTTGCTTGTTTGTCTTATATTCCTACGTGCAAACTTGTCCAACCCGTAGCCTGCAGGCTGCATGCATCCCAGGGTGGCTTTCAATGGGGCACAACACAAATTTGTAAACTTTCTTAAAACATTATGAGATTTATGTGAGATTTATGCACAGACTTTTTTTTTTTTAAGCCCATCAGCTATTGTTAGTGTTGGTGTATTTTATGTGTGGCCCAAGACAATTCTTCATCTTCCAATGTGGCCCAGGGAAGCCAAAAGATTGGACACCCTTAAATTTTAGGGTCTATGAAAGTGAGGATTTTTGTTTTATTAATTGCTATATCTCCATCTCATAGAACAGTGCCTAGCAGTTAGTAGTTGCACAATAAATATTTCTTGACTGACTAAATAGAGAAATTTGGCTTTGAGAGTTCCTCCGATTCGTTGGCTAAAAAGGTTTCGTTATTTTAAAAATAAGGAAGTCTCCAGACTGCTTTCCACAGTAGCTGTCCTAATTTACATTCGCACCATCAGTATATAAGCATGCCCTTTTGGCTGAAGCCTCACCGGCATGTTTTTTTATTATTATTATTATTTATTAATAGTTTGAAAAACTACCTTTTGGTGACTATGCTCACTACCTGAGTGATGGGATCCATACCCCAAACCTCAGCATCATGCAATATTCCCATGTAACAAACCTGTACATGTACCCCCTGTATCTAAATAAAAGGTGAAATTTAAAAAAAATAATAAGGAAATAAAATCCTAGCCAGGTGCAGTGGCTCACACCTGTAATCCTACCACTTTGGGAGGCTGAGGCAGGTGGATCACTTGAGGTCAGGAGTTCAAGACCAGCCTGGCCAACATGGTGAAACTCCCGTCTCTACTAAAAATACAAAAATTAGCTGGATGTGGTGGTGCACGCCTGTAATCCCAGCTACTCAGAGGCTGAGGCATGAGAATCGCTTGAACCCGGGAGGCAGAGGTTACAGTGATCCAAGATGGTGTCACTGCACTCCAGCCTGGGTGACAGAGTGAGACTCCGTCTCAAAAAAAAAAATAAAAATAAAAATAAAAATAAAATTCTAAGGAAGTAAATGATAGTTTGGAAGAGTAGTATTCATCTGCAAACTCTGCTCTCGGGGTTTTACATTTTTCTTGGAGCAGCCTTGAATTTACTATATTTTTATTTCATTGAATACAAACTCAAGCCATTCCTACCACCACACCATACATCCAAGATGACTGTATCTCATTCTGGCTAAAACCTAAGAAAACTGTTCACTGTAATGAAGTCTAATGGAAGCTTGATGACATGGCTTTTAGGCATTAAAGTCTAATAAGATCAAAATGATAATAAAATTCAGTACAGGGGCATTATCCCTTGATAAAAAAAACTTCACTTGTTTTGCTTAGATGCTGATATTGACCCTGAAAATTGGTGAAATCAAGCTTCTGATGTTAATTTAGGGTTGTTATCAGTTTTCTGCATGTACATGTAATTGGGTTTGAAATGTGTTTTAAGCCTGAATTAAAAGAACTTAGTCACTGATGACTCATAGTGAGAAGTTTTTCCTTTTCCCTGCTGGAACATATGCTTTTACCTCCAACATGCCCTTTTAAAAACAATTAAAACATAAAGAATGCTACTTTTGTGTGACAGTTTCTGGAAAAGTTCTGTTTAGGTTTAAAGTGGTGACCACTTATTACAATGCTTGTTAGTAACTACGCTAACTACAACTGAGTTTCCAAATTTCCATACAAATTTCTTAGTCTCTGCCTTTGTGGAAGTTTCCTCATTATATATGAAATCCTCAGAAGTTCACTAGATAGTATATGGATGACCACAGGGACTTTATTTTGTTCATTATTGTATTCCTACCAAGTGCCTAGAACAGTACCCTGCACATAGAAGCCAATTAGTAAATATTTGTTGAATAAAATCACATAATTTTTTTTTTGTGAGACAGAGTCTAGCTCTGTCACCCAGGCTGGAGTGCAGTGGTGCGATCCTGGCTCACTGCAGCCTCCACCTTCCGGGTTCAAGTGATTCCCCTACCTCAGCCTCCTGAGTACCTGGGATTACAGGCGCCTGCCACCATGCCCAGCCATTTTTGTATTTTTAGTAAAGATGGGGTTTCACCATGTTGGCCAGGCTGGTGTCAAACTCCTGACCTCAAGTGATCTGCCTGCCTCGGCCTCCCAAAGTGCTGGGATTACAGGCGTGAGCCCCTGCGTCCAGCCCCATGCATTCTTAATAATCGTGCATCTTAGAAAAATAATGAAAGTATTGAAATCAATTTTCTCCAGCTTTTTTGAATTAGGTAGTCATCAATTCACAATCAGTCTAGTTTGGGTGTCTCTCCGTATTAGCCCAAGGTAGTTCTGTTCGAATAGTTCCTAGCATTGCTTGTGCCAATCTTAACTCTCCTTTAGTGGATCTCTTACAAAAGGAGGGGTGAATTGCCGCCACCCATAGGCACTTGCACCTGTGGGAACCAATGGGCGTTGTAACAGGAAATACTTCAGCTTGCAATACTGATAGTAATGTGTGGCACCCAGGTCACGCTGTTTTTATCTGCAGTTCCTTTTTAGTATTGTACAAAGTTTCTTGACGGTTTTTTAATACATAAGTTTAAAAGAGAATTAACTTTCAATTTGCAAATTAAAATGAGAATGGTTGCCTTTTCTTCATTATCAAGAAATGGTGAGTTGTCCTCCTGTAAGTAAATTGGTTCTTTTCTTTCTAATATTGTATTCCATGAAACCTTACTCTGGTATGCAGGGAGAGTGGAGGGTGCCTAAGTTGTAAAATAATTAAAACTTAAGCTGATATAATTATCAATAATAGTAACCAGTTCTGATATCTACTTGATACCATAACGGTGAGCATTGATAGACTTTCATAGATTTTTTACATCAGATTAGCTTGAGCAAGTTTTCCTCTTTTGTAGGTACTGGGGGGAAATTCTGGAAAAATTTTTAGAGAGTTCTTTCTAAAATGTCTAAATGCGAAGCTGTATAAATTGCTGTTGACGTTAGCTGTCTGACCAGGAAGTACTCTCTGTAAGCCTCACTTATAAAACTAAGTGTCTGTAATAACTTCCTTTCTCGGGATGAAGGTGCTGATAGCCTGGGGTGTTCTTATAACTTCAGTTCAGTTTTTCCTGTGAGGAAGAGGCAGTTTTTTAAATGAAGCCATCTCTGGGGAAATCGTATTGATTGTTGTAGCTAAATACGGAATTTTTAAAGTCTTAATATGTTGAACTGGAAATATAGGACATGCATTTGAGATCTACTGTGAGTAAGTGTCATTGGTATTTTATTTTACATTTAATGTTTTATTATAAATGTGGTTTGTGTCTAAACACTGTTTAAAAATGCGTAAACTCTGTTGAAGTTCATGTGAAATATTTATGGCCTTAGCTCAAAATCCAGCTGAGAGTAATCAACCTCAAAAGTCATTGGATTCATGTGCTCTATTTAATTTGTAGCTTGATATTCTACAAATAAAAGTGGTAATTTTTTCAGAAAAAATTTAATTTTTTTCTTTCTCCTGATTAAGCAAGGTAAATGCTGAGCATCAAATAAAATAGCAAAATTTTGTCAGAAGAGTCTTTTAAACAAAAAACTTGAAATATGTTAAAGGTCATCTTAAATGGATGCAGTTTATGCTAATGGATGATATTATTACTTTAAAACAATATTTCACAATCAAGCTACTCAAAGTGGCAAACTATTCATCCTAGAGATCTTTAAAAGTAACAAGCCTGCCTCCTGTTTTTCTTCATTCACAGAAAGGGAAAATAGTATAGAAAGCAGAGCAGTTTCTTGAATGTAATACCAAATTTAGAGACAGAAAAGTCACAGGGTTTGGTCACACTTATTTTGTTTTGTAACTTTGAAAATCAATTTAATACATAGGGTTAGCTACTTATTAAAGTATAAAAATAAAACATGTTGGCCATTAGGTTATTAACAATTTATATGACTACTATAGTCCCATAAAATGAATTTAGTTAAAGTAGGAAAATAGATACTTTTTTTTGACATGTCATCATTTGTATGTTAAAAAGTTAATGCAAAATATGTTATAAATCAGGAAAGCTACCTTAATAATTTCTTTACCAACTTCACTAGTCTCTTGGAATGAGGTTTAAATGAAATGCATAGGCTAACAGTGACTGTGATATCCAAACTCTAATACTGTGCAGGTTAAATGTGTAAATTAAGTCTTATAATTATACATAGGTGTTTTCATGTAAGAAGCATTGCAGTAGATATTACTAATGGGGGTGCTATTCTTTCTAATGTATGAGAAAGGAAATTTTAAGTGTCAGATAATCTTTAAAATGTGATGTCATACAGCATGTGCTTTTTCCTTAAGATTTATGAATGTTTAAAACTTAAAAGTACAAATTATGTAAATTTCAGCTTTCACAGAGAGGCCTTTTATGATTGTCTGAATGTTATATTAGCAGTCCAGAAATATCCCAGTCATAGCCTGGATGGGGGTGAAGCAGAGGAAGTGGGTGGTGCTTCATGATGACAGATTATTGCAGATTATATGGCTGCCTGCCAAAATGACACTCGTTGAAGGAAAAAGTAGAAGTTACAAACTGCATCCTATTAATTTGTACATGTTTATTTAACCACTTATAACAGTTTGCTTGTTTTATACACAGATGACAAGTTTTAAACTCCTGAATTACTTAAAATGTGCTTAACCTTCTATAGTTTATCATGGCCATATTCCTTATATCTGATCTGCAGAGATCACACTGACCCTTTTGTGGAAAGCCACGTGTTAGCAGAAAAAAAGACGGGGGAAGGATGACAGAATTTAAAACTACAACTGCTTTATTTTCTAGTTAAAAATAGTTCTGAGTTAAAATGTAAGGATGTCCCATCACATGTGGACAATTTATATAAAATATAGCATACTAATACAAATAATCATGTCATATGAAAAAGTTGATAGTTCTCGATTGTTCTGGTTTAGCTTGAAATTGAGATTCTTACTGTTGCAACATAAAAGGAAGCTTTGTGAAGGAAATATGACATCTCTGCCCAGATGCATAAGGAGGGAATTACAGTGGGGAGTTATTTTTAGAAGTATCTTATGAATACATTTCATGTACTAAGAACATTTTTTAAAGGTTAGTTTCACTGGTAGGAGTTATGCAAGTTGCTCGGGTCACTGGATATTCTATTAAGAAATCATTTTTATGTCACCAACCTAGTTAGTCTTAAACTGGCTGATCTAAGTAGTAGCTTGCTTATTTATTTATTTTATTTGAGACAGTCTCACTCTGTTACCCAGGTTGGAGTGCAGCAGCACAGTCATAGCTCACTTCAGCCTTGAACTCCTGAGCTCAAGTAATCCTCCTGCCTCAACCTCCCCAGTAGCCGAGACTGCAGGCATGTGCCACCATGCCTGGCTAATTTTTTAGTTTCTTTTTTTTGTAAAGAGGGAGTCTTGCTTTGTTGCCTAGGCTGGTCTCAAAATCCTGGCCTCAAGAGATCCTCCTGCCTCTGCCTCCCAAAGCTCTGGGATTACAGGTGTGAGCCACTGCACATGGCCATAGCATTTTTTTAAATGTGACCAAATTGAGGCCAGGCGTAGTTGCTGACACCTGTAATCCCAGCACTTTGGGAGGCCGAGATGGGCGTATCACTTGAGACCAGGAGTTTGAGACCACCCTGGCCAACATGGTGAAGCCCCGTCTCTACTGAAAATACAAAAATTAGCTGGGTGTGGTGGTGTAAGTCTGTAATCCCAGTTACTCAGAAGGCTGAGGCATGAGAATCACTTGAACCCGGGAGGTAGAGGTTGCAGTGAGCCGAGATCAAGCCACTGTACTCCAGCCTGGGCAACACAGCGGGACTCCATCTCAAGAAAAAAAAAAAGTGACCACATTGAGAAGATATTGAGATCCTGTCAATACCATCAAATAGTAATGCAAGTTATCCTACTAAAAGAGGGGAGGGGACAGTTAAATTCCCAGTGCATAGTAGTGTCCCATTCTCCTTCAGGCATGGAATGCCATGTTTTCAGTTCAAGGAAAGGTTGGAAGTGAGTCAAGGAATCTATCATTTGTATCTCACAATTCTTAGAATTGATGCCCTTCCCTAATCCTTTTCCACGATCAGCAGCATGTCCAGGTTTCTTATATTTCTTACTTTCGGTTTCTGTCACATAGATTTGGGATTGGCAGGGTAGTTTAATGTTTAATAAGAGTGTGGCAGATAAACATGTCTGCCACCTACTAGCTTTGTGACTGCACAAATCCCTTAACCTCCCCGAAACCTCAGTTTCTTCTTCTGTAAAATGGATATAATTATAGTACCTACCTCACAGGATTGTTGTGAGGATTAAATGAAATAATGTATGAAAAGCATAATTTTGGCCACACTGTAAAGGAGGAGCTCAGTGTGCAAGAATAGTTATGCTTATTTTTGCCATTTTTGGATATTTCAGTTCTCATTCATAACTTCACCAGAAAATGGTCATGGAAAGAGATATAACAACACATGGCATTATGTATAGATAATAAAATCAACATTATAATAATAGAAGTATTTAGAAAGTACCAGAAGAAGGAGGCAGGGATTGACTGTAGATTTAATAATTATTCATCAAAATGATTATATACTCTGACAAATTTCACTTTAGTAACATTTTTCATTTTGTTTCAAGTGAGATAATTTCCTCCCAATTTGATGGAACAACTCAGGAAACAACATAGTGAAGTGTTGATTTCTTAAAATGTCATTTTCTCAGTAGAGTGTGTTTGTTTTCTTCTGAGTGCACCCCTCAGATAAAGTTAGGACTATGTTTTAAGATTTTAGATCAGGTAAAAAAAATTTTTTTTTTTTGGTGACAACAGAACATGGATATTTACATGTATATTTGAATACAATAGTCCCCTCTTATCCTCAGTCTTGCTTTCTGTGGTTTTAATTACTCATGGTGAACTGTGGTCTGAAAATACTAAAGTGGAAAATTGCAGAAATAAACTATTCATGAGTTTTATTTTATTTTATTTTATTTATTTATTTTGGGACAGAGTCTCACTTTGCCACCTAGGCTGGAGTGCAGTGGTGCGATCGTAGCTCACTGCAGCCTCAGACTCAAACTCCTGGACTCAAGGGGCCCTCCTGCCTCGACCTCCCAGATAGCTAATTTAAAACAAAAAAAATTATAGAGACAGGGTGTATTAGTCTGTTTTCATGCTGCTAATAAAGACATATCTGAGGCTGGGTAATTTATACAGGAAAGAGGTTTAATGGACTTACAGTTCCATATGGCTGGGGAGGCCTCACAATCATGGTGGAAGGCAAGGAGGAGCAAGTCACGTCTTACATGGATGGCAGCAAGCAGAAAAGAGAGCTTGTGCAGAGAAACTCCCCCGATAAAACCATCAGATCTCATGAGAACAGCACAGGAAAGACCCACCCCCATGATTCACTACCTCCCACCGAGTTCCTCCCACAATGCTTGGGAATTGTGGGAGCTACAATTCAAGATGAGATTTGGGTGGGGACATAGCCAAACCATATCATGGGGTCTTGTTATGTTGCCCAGGCTGGCCTCAAGCAATCCTCTGACCTTGGCCTCCCAAAGTGCTGGGATTACAGGCGTGAGCCACTGTGCCTGGCCCCATTCATGAGTTTTAAATTGCTTACCTTTTTGAGTAGTGCGATGAAATCTCCTGCTGACCTACTCCTTCTAGCCAGGGAAATGAATTATCCCTTTGTCCAGCCTATCCACACTGTAGATGCTACCTGCCTGTTCCTCACTTAGTAGCTGGTTGTCTTGGTTATCAGATTGACTGTTGTGGTACCTCAGTGCTTGTGTTCAAGTAACCCTGATTTTACTTAATAATGGCCCCAAAGTGCAAGAGTATTGTGGCTAATTTATAAATTAAGCTTCATCGTAGTTATGTATGTATAGGAAAGGAAATAGTATATATAGAGTTCTGTACTATCTATGGTTTCATAAATCCACTGGGTGTTCTAGAACATATTCCCCACACATAAGGGCAACTACTATATAAAGAATGTTTTCTGTTCTCACCATCTGAGACTCTAGGGTTCATATCTTGTAATGGGTTAACTTTGTTGATGTATTGAAAATATTAAAACTAATTTTTACAGAAGCAGATTTTCATGGGGATGTGTTAGCAAAACAGATGTGAAATTTAGGGGACACCCGCAGTAAATTCACTAAACCAAACAGGGAAACTCCTTATAGGATACTTGAAAAAAAAATGTTTAGCCGTTGTGAATATACCTCTAGTG